AAAAAAAAAAAAACAAAAATAACTGTCCATCACAGTCTCATGAAAGGAATCAAAGACATCCAGTGTTCTTAGATTGGGAGACTCAAACAAGGAACAGTTCCTCTTAAATTAATTGGTGGATTTATTGTGTTTTTTTTAATTTTTTTAAACTTTTATTTTATGCAAATTGGTGTGAAGGTATCAGATCCCCTGGAACTGAGGTTACAGACAGTTGTAAACTGCACATGGGTGCTGGGAATTGAACCCAGGTCCTTTGGAGGCACTGCTTGGCCTATTAGCTCTAACTTCTTATTGGCTAGCTTTTACATCTTAATTTAACCCATTTCTATTATTTTATATTTTACCACAAGGTCAGTGGACAACCGGAAAGGTTCCAAAGTGTCTTATCTCTGGTGCTGGCTCCATGGCTTCTCTCTGACTCCACCTCCTTCCTTCCAGCATTCAGTTTAGTTTCTTTCCCCCACCCCCACTTAGCTCTACTCTCTACCCTATCACAGGCCTAAGACAGTTTCTTTATTAACCAATGGTATTGCCGGGCAGTGGTGGCGCACGCCTTTAATCCCAGCACTCGGGAGGCAGAGGCAGGCTGATCTCTGTGAGTTCGAGACCAGCCTGGTCTACAAGAGCTAGTTCCAGGACAGGCTCCAAAACCACAGAGAAACCCTGTCTCGAAAAACCAAAAAAAAAAAAAAAATGGTATTCACAGCGTAAAGAGGGGAATCCCACATCAGTAACAGAATTAAAGATAACCTATGGCTGGGAAAACAGGAAATGAGAAGAGGTTGACTTCGTTAGCCACTAGGGACTGCAGACTGCAGCCGGATATGGAACGTGCACAGTGCCAGTTGTTGACTCTGCTCTACCCAGTGGAGTTACCACCAGCCATTATGAAGTCAGATTTGTCCTGGAGCCATTTTTATGGGCCCCTTTCCTCCTGAGCTTATTCTCATTGAACTGTTAGGGTGGACGGTGGAAATGTGTCTGGTGGCTGTAGGTTGCTTGGTTGACGGGGAACTTTAAGGTTGCCCTTTATCTTAAGGACTTTGGCGGAGCAAGGAGTTCCGGACTGCAGTTGTGTGTTCTGCTCCAGTTGCTGTGGAAAGACCACCTATTTCACATGTAGAAAACCTGTTCTCAGGTTTAGTACAGAGCTCTGTAAGGAAGATAAGGTCCTTTTGCCTGTTTTCGTATTAGAGCATACAGTGATTTGACTTTGGGGTCATGCTCCACTAGCAATTAAAAAAAGTCAAGGGTGGCTTTTCATGCTCAAGTTTTGACATTGCTTCACACACTGAAGAGGCATAAGAAAAGGTTTCTCTCTCTTTCTCAGTTTCTTTTGCTCCTAGGTTCTCATGGCAGGAGAGAAGTGTCTATGCCAGTGGCAGGGTTGCAGCAAGGGCAGGGCCTCCCAGATTTGGGATTCTTCTAAGGCTTGAGACGGAGGAGCATTTTTAGCACTGCAGTCACCAGTGCAGCCATGGCTAGAGTTACACTCTTCTGACCCAGCGGCCCCCTTGCTGTCAGAAGGAAAGCCCACTCGCTAGCCTGTGACTCTTTCCTACATATTCAACACAGTCAAGGTTAGGTATTCTTTTCCTTGAGGAAGGATTTCCATTCATTTAACAATTCTTCACCAATACGAGACTTACTTTGTGAATTCAAGGGATAAGTTTGGTCATTTAAGTTGTAGAACCTCTAATTAAATCCCTGCTCAGAAGTGTCCACTGCTCACCTGGTATGAGAGGAGCCAAGGCCTGAATGCCAAGGTTTTGACCCTCCAAAGGCATGTGATATGTGACTAAATTCTGTCCGTCTGTGCCAGGAACTCACAGGGAGACAGAACTGTGCTTTCACTGTGTAAATGGCTGTGTTCCCAGATACTGGTTTCAGAGGGAGGCAAGGAGGCAGACATACCCAGCACCGCATCTTCTCTGAGAGCCACAATAATCCAGACATCTTTTCATACACAACCCGACGCTAGCAGGAATCCCCTGCCCTCCGAGGAGAGGAAGGAAAGGGACCCATAATCAAAGACTATTATTTCCACACTCAAGTTTGGATATATGAAAGCTTCACTCTCTAGAAGGTAGAATGAGGCAGTCAGAGGACTTCTAAAAACAGTTACCACAGTACGTGGTCTGCAAATGCAGCTGGTGTGGGCTTGCTGTGTGGGTGACAGAAGGACACTCCTGTCACCACCTGGGATGTGGTCTTCGAGAAGTGAACACACCCAAGTATAGTCTACACACTTGTCACATTCTGGAAAATTCGGGTCAACTTAGATCTGTGCGAAGCTAACTGAGTTTATTTGTAGGATGAGTCGTGGTTCATCTTGATTGTGGGTGTGCTGGAGAAGAGAGTGCAAGATTAATTAGGGGCTGGAGCGGTGGCTCAGTGGTTAAGACCACTGGCTGATCTTCCAGAGGACCCGGTTCAATTCCCAGCACAGCCTCCTCGAAGGAGGCGTGAGCAGTCACAGCTGGTACCACGGTGCCAGTGCAAGCCTGCAGCGCTTGTCTAAGGAGGGAGCGCATTTCTCAGCCTGGGTCAGAACATGGAATAGGACTTTGATGAAGGGGTGCGGGGTGCATACCCCAGAGTGCCTGCCTGCCTGGGTCCATTGCCATTTTTGTTAGCTCAGCTCCTTACCTGTGAGGTTAATGGCAAAATCTCTGAAGCAAGTCCCCCTTTTTTAATACCAAAATAGCTATGTTGTGTGGGTCACAAAGTTGGGATAGTGAGCAGCCTACAAGCTAAACAAGTAGAATCAAGCCCCAGAAGTCCCAGGCTCTGGGAGAATTGAAAACAAGTTGTGCAGATTGTCCTACTGAAATACAGGCTGAAGGTCAGCCTGGTGGCTTCCCCTAAACAGGATGTTTGGTCTGAGACTCGTGCTGCACAGGACCAAAGGATCTTTTCTTTCTTGCTTCAGTGCACACTTGACTCTGAAGTGGCGCTCAGAGTGGGTGGAGAGTTCTTCTTTGACCCTCAGCCCACAGACGCCCCTCGAAACCTCGTGTTGATTGCTGGAGGGGTTGGGATTAACCCCCTGCTTTCCATCCTGCGCCACTCAGCAGATCTCCACCGAGACCAAGCAGACAGAGGAAGAGGCTATGAGATAGGAGCAATAAAACTGTTCTACAGTGCCAAGAACACCAGTGAACTCCTGTTTAAGGTAAGGGGGAGATACGTTTACAGGGTGCTGTAAGCAGTGTGGGAAATTGTACAGTCCATAAACAGCAGGTGACGTGAAATGATAACGTGCAGAGGGGACAATTGAGGCTTAAGGACACAAATGAGAGCTCAAGACACAAGGAGAGGAGTGTATGCGTGGGTGGGGTGATCAAAATAAACTGTGTATAAAAATGCTATCATGAAACCTGTTACTTTGTATGCTAATTAAACAATGAAAACTCATTCAGGCAAACAGGACAAGAAAGAAGTGAAACTGCCTAGGGGATTGAAAGGGAGTAAAGGGAGAAGGATGGAGTGAATATAGCCGAAGTGCTTGGTGTACACCAATGAAAGTGTCTATATGATGCCCATCAGTAAACAATGAATATAAACCAATAAAAATAAATAGGTATGCAAATAAATGGGAATTTTTTTTTCTTAGGTTCAGATTTCTCTGCAAAGGTTCACATAAAAGACTTGTCAAGGCTTAATCAGTTCTTGTGAGAGAATTAACAGGCCATTTCACCCAGGGCAGTTAAACATGTTTCCAGTTAAGTGTCCGGGTAAGATGAGTCTTAGTGGGCATCGAATTCTCTGTTACTGTGATATAACGCTCTGACTAAGTTAACCTATAAAAGAAAGTGTTTAACATGGAGGTTCTGGTTTCAGAGGGTTAGAGTCCATGAACGTCGTGGCAGCAGGCAGGTAGACTTGGTGCTGAAGCAGTAGCCAAAATCTCACGTCTTGAGACACAAGCAAGAGGCAGCAAGGGCTACCTGGGAAGGGCATGAGTCTTTTGAACCCTCAGAGTCCCCCCCAGTGACACTCATCTAACAGGGCTACACTTCCAACCCTTCTCACACAATTCTACCAACTGGAGACCGAGTATTCAAACAGCCTGGGCCATTCTCATTCAGATCAGCACAGTGGGCTAACATCTAGAAGGTAATGGAACAGAAACAACACTAGGGCCAGGCAAGGTGTCTCACATCTGCAATCCCAGCCCTGGACATGTGAGGCTGCAAGATCGGGCATTCCTGGCCAAATCCAGCTACACAGCAAATTCAGGGTTAACCTGGACCACATGAGACTTCCTCAAAAACCAGGAGGAGGCAGAGATAGAGGAGGTGGGAGGAGGAAGAAGAGGAGGGGAATTACTGGCCTAAAATTTGCTATGTAGACCCAGTTGCCCTCGAACTCATAGAGACCCACCTATCTCTGGCTGCCAAGTGCTGGGATTAAAGGCATTGTACCATTCTACCCAGCTGTGGTTTGATTTTTAAAATTGTAGTTTGACCCAATTTCTTTGACATTCCAGAAAAATATCCTCGATTTAGTAAATGAATTTCCCGAGAAGATTACATGCAGTTTGCATGTTACAAAACAGACGGCACAAATCAGTGCAGAACTTAAACCATTCATCACAGGTGAGTCCTCTAAGGAGATTGGCTAGCTATGCAGTTATTGGATAGAGAGGCCAATTGGTTAAGCATAGATTACTGTTAGGAGTCACCTGCTGGGAATGTCATTCCCAGGGGAATTGAGACAGTTCATATAGAAATACTTACTTGTGATTTGCTTAGTATAGATAGGTTTCTTACTGCCCGTATTAAAATTGTACTTTTCACATTTTTTAGTAGATCCTGGCATTGTGACTATAATATACAAACAAATAAATTATACTCCTGCTTTGGTTGAATCAGTTCCATTTGCCACCTATAGTTATTTAAATTACTCACTTTCTCTATTTGGAAGGAGTCCTTAAAGTTTTTTTATTTACTTTTTGTTTGTTTTACTGTTTTGGGGATAAGGTCTTACTGTGTAGCCTTGACTGGCCTGGAACTCTTGAAGATCCACCTGCCTCTCCTCTCCAAATTCTGAGATTAAAGGTTTAGGTCATCACACCTTGCTAAAGTTATTTTAAGTGTATGTGTATATATGTGTGTGTGTGTGTGTCTGTGAGTGTGTGTGTGTTTGCAGTTCTGTATGGATATCAGAGGACAACATTTAACATTTGGAGCTTGGTTCTCTCTTTCCATCTGTGAGTCTCAGGGATCCAGCTCAGGTCATCAGACTTGGTAGAAGCCTCTTCATGCTGGGCCATCTTACCGTCCTGAAAGGGTTTTATTTCTTTCTTAATAAAATAGCCACTTACTTGGCTGAAGGCAGTTTTCATCTCTACAAAGGCGCATAAGCTTGTGGGCTCTCTCTAAAGAGCAACTGGTAATGAGCCTTCTGCTTTGCTTGCGTAGGCCTGGGAAGCCTGAAGAGACCCAGCACACAGTGAACCATGGTGCAGATCAGGCTCACGGTGCTGCAGGCGACCTCTGCCACCCAGCTGTGGTAGGTCAGGATACAAATGTGCCTAACCTGATTGGTGTTTCTTTTGTTTTCTTTTTTTTTTTTTTTTGGTAGAAGGAAGAATAACGGAGAAGGAGATACGAAACCACATTTCAGCAGAGACTCTGTTCTATATCTGCGGCCCACCTCCAATGACGGACTTTTTCTCTAAGCAACTGGAGAGCAGCCATGTTCCCAAGGAACACATTTGTTTTGAGAAGTGGTGGTAGGGAGCCGGCCCAGACCTGAGAGCCACTCAGGAGAGTGAGACTGTTTAGGGTTTGTGGGTTTGCCTCCACCTGAGCTATCTTTTTTAAAGCTGTGAACTAAGTGTCCAACCCAAGACTAAAGAAAAACCAGCACCAGATTTATACAATAAACATGCTGTCGACTCGTTAGTCAAGCTTTTCTTGACTATCCTGATTTTTTCTTTCATTAATACCTATTTAACTATCTCATGATGGTTCATTGTTATGGAGTTTCTGGCCCCTGGGAAAAGACCATACACTCAGTCCAAATTGATTACCTACTAGCAGGATGACAGTCTCTGAGCCAAGGAGGGGTATTGGGAAAGGTTTATTAAGGGCGAAAAGCACATGAAGACTTTCAACATCTACACAAGCAAGCAAAATCTGGTCTGTTCTGTCAAGTGGTCAGTGTGACTCAGAACAATCTGTGAGTATCTGTAAACAAGTTACAGAAGCCAAAGCAGAAAGCAGTTCGTCGTCGTCACAGTGGAGGGTCCCTGCTGTGGATTTCTGGTTAGGGGTCACTGAGTCAAGGCTGTTTTCTGGGAACCTGCCTTTCTGGAATTTTGAGTCTGAGGCAAGCAGTCATTAGGTATTAAGATGGAGGTCTAGCACACAATGGTTTCTCTGGCTGACCCTTACACCATGAACTGATTAATACAAATTTTTCTTTGCCATTAGGAAGAAAAATGGTCTACTTAAAGGAAAATAATGAGTTTTGTGTTTAAATTATTGGACAGAGATTCATGAATCTTGTGTTTAGTGAATTTATAATTTTAAATACATTCTTAATTTTAGTTTGAAAAGTCTTAATGTTTAATGATATTTTGTTGTTGTTGTTGTTGTTGTTTTTACTTTGAATGGCCTGTAGCCCCATGTGAACCCCCAGTGTTGCATCAGGAAATGAAAACTCATTAAGAAAACCGCTTTAGTGGGTTGAATATCCTGTTTTCCTTCTTGGTGTTGACTACCCTGGGTAATTATTAATTCTTCTGTAACGAAACCTTTCTGCAAACTGTCCCCTGCCTTACCACTGAGGAGCTGGCTTCTTATTTGGGGCAAAGGTGTTGGTAATTGTTCTTTCATTCCTTCAGCGGCTGGCCTAGCTGGCTGTGCAAATGTTCTTAGGATTGGCTAAGAGGTGTGGAGCCATTTTCGAGTCCTGCTTGTCTGCTTTTCCCGTCCCTCCTTTTTAGAGTTGTTCCTGGCTCCAGCAGGTGGGTTGTACATGCTCACTGGATGGTTCTCTCCTGTTGCAGGCTAGATCCCCAGATCCACAGACATGGCCAGACTGTCGTCCCCGGCTGCTCTGGCGAAACTGCTGAAGGTAGAAAGCGCTGTCTACCTCTTTATTTTTGGAGGGAAATGTCCAAAGTTCATACACTAATTGAAGCAAAAAAGGCTAGGGCCCATGGCATCAGCTCAGAGAATATGGGAAATAAAAAGACCGTAGGCAAACCCAGTGCTGAAGACCCAGGAGGCCCAGCTGAGAGTCTGTTCTTGAGCAGGTGACAGAGGAAGCTTGCTCTAGTCTCTGTTGCTGCACACAGCCCGAGAGCTTCCCGGCCTAGAGTCGTTCAGGGTTGGGGGGGACAAACACCGTTTAACCTCTGCTTTGATTGAAGTTTTGTCAGGTTTTAAGAGACTCTGAGCTGAGTCATGTGTCACCAATGGCTGGGGCACACTCTGAACTTTAGCATTGTGCCGACATTATAAAGTGCACATCACAAACTTGAGGTGTCTCTAGGTGGTATAGTCATATGAGATCCCTGTTGTATGACCTGTGTCATTGACCGAACACTGACACCCAGTGCGTTGGTCTCTTATATCTCATCACCCCAGGACATCTGCCTTCGGAGGAAAGAGGCTTGGGAGAAGTTTCTGAGCAGCCACCATGAACTGGGACTATACTGATTGACCTCCAAAGTGTCCATGCTGAGGGATGAACTTCAGAGCTGAGCTCTCAGAGGCATGGGAGGTGCTGAAGAGATGACTCCGTGATTAAGAGCACTAACAATTCTTCCAAAGGACCCAGATTCAATTTCCAGTACCCATATGGTGGCTCCCAACCATCTGTAACTTCAGTCCTAAGATATATAACAGCCTTTTCATTCTTCCTTGGGCCCTGCATAAATGTGGTGCTCTGACATAGATGCAGACAAAACACCCTACACACAAAATTAATTTTTAAAAATCAGGTGTAGGATGCAGTACTAAGATAGAGGAGTGTGGAGTCAGCAAAGGGCTCCTCTCCAACTGCAGTGGAGGGAACAAAGGGGACAGGAAGAGTCCATCCAAAGCCTCTGTGAAAGAGTGGCTGTGCCTAGGGAGCATTCTCAGAGCAGTGTGAGATGGCAGCTTCGGGCATCCTGCCTCTGTCCTGCCAGCACCGTGCTGTGTTCCTATTGTTGTCGGAGGTCAAGGGCTCCCTCTCTGGAGACCCCAGCTATGCCGGCCACCCTGCACCTACTTGCTGACACTGTTGGGAACTGCTGCAGTGGGCCAGGCTCTGGTCTCCGTTTGCCTGCACTGTTATTCTTTCTGGTTCTTTTCTGGTGCTAAGTTGCATGGCATATTCTGGTCTGCGGGCTGGGAACACCCCAGTGTGCTTGCTGCCAGGCCAGCCCACATCTCTCTGGTGTTCATTCTGAGCAAGCTTCAGCCGTGTGGCATGCAGTTTAGGCTGCGGCAGGGGTACAGCCTGTGGAGACTGCAGAGCTGTTGTGCATATCCTAGGGACTTGACTTTGGTCAAGTTTCTTGGCTGGTTTTTGCTTCATGAAAATTTTCCACTTGTACCTGAGTAAAAATAAGTACTGACCCTTTTTATGGACTTTTAAGGGGATTAAATGCAGTTATATGAATAACACTGAATGGATGTGTTATCATTGCTCATTTGTTCTTTGTCCTACTCAGAAAGGATTTCAGGAGGCTGGGCAGAGTTGACATTGTTCACTGACTTGGTCCTTCTTGTGGGTAGACCAGTAGTTCTTAACCTTCCTAATGCTGTGACCCCTTAATATCATTCTGCATGTTGTAGTGATCCCCCCAACCATAAAATTATTTCGTTGCTACTTCATAACTGTAATTTTGCTGCTGTTATGAATCAAAATGTAAATATCTGTGTTTTCCCATGGTCTTAGGTGACCCTGAAATGGATGTTCAACTCCAAAGGGGTCGCCATCCACAGGTTGAAAACCACTGACTTAAAGATTATAGTCGTGCTAGAGTTAGAAACAGATGAACCTCTTCCTGAAAAGGTTAGTATTACAGATCATCCTGGTTTCTCAAGGACACCAGCTTGGTTTACTGTTTTCCTGACCTTTGCCTGTGTGTTTTCATAGCCCAGAGTCTACACATCTCCATTTTTCTATCTGTGGATATACAGTGCACTAGAATCACCCTACATGAACAGTTGTCTATAGAGTACTCACTTAGAAGTCTCTAACATCAGTATTTAAATGAAACTTGGACCTTGTTGAGACTTGGTTCCCTAAGTAAGGGAAAGCTTGACAAACAGGAGAAAACATAACTATCTTGATTAAACATAGATTTTTAAAGCCAGTTCTTGTTGTAAGCAACCTAACAAATTCACCAGTAGTAGGAGAATTGAATCTATACAGACTTCATTGCCACTTGAACTTCTTTAAAAAAAGGTTCTTTTACACATTTTTGTCCTTGGTTACATAAGAGCCTGAGAGTTGGAATTCTAGACTCCAGAAAGAGCTGACCAAGATAACAAAGCTTCCAGTGACCTTGGATAGTGAAGTTAGCAAGAAAAAGTGGGAGAGAAACTATATACAGAGCTGAAAATCTTTCCATGTAAATCTTGTCGTTCCAGGTTTTTATAGAAAAGGCGTTGGGCAGCCCCCTGAAGAACAGAGGGAGTGCAGTGGTTGCTTTTCTAGCAGGTAGAAAGGGAAAGAAATGTGGGCTTTCCAGTGCTGTGGGCTGGATAGGCAGTCTAAACACAAAGCACTCATGTGTTTATTTTAAAAACAAAATAAGGCGGTGGGACTCGAATTTAATGAATTTAATCCCAGCACTCCGGAAGTAGAGGCAGGCAGGTGGATCTCTGAGTTCAAGGTCAGCCTGGTCTACAGAGCTAGTTTCAAAACAGCCGGGGCTGCACAGAGAAACCCTGCCTCAAAAAAACAAACAAACCATAAAATATGTGAAAACCATAAAACATGAACAAAGCTTCAAATAATATTGTGACATCTATCAGATTTATTTCTGTATCACTATTATTACACATATCATAAGAATGTTTCCTATTCCAAACATGACTATTGATTCTAATGATTCCATGAAAAAGAGACCGTAGTATATTACCTTCTTGTGAACAAGATGTTCTCTTCATGACTTTATAATACACAGGCACACAAAATTAGATATTAAAGTAGCTAGTCTCAACGCATTGCCCATTAGCAACAAGTACATTTAGTGATAGCTTCATCTTAAAGCAAAAATAGCCAAGCTCAGTGGTGACAAAATCCGTGCACATTTCATATGGAAATCATGCAGAAATCTCTCTCCACGTGTCAGCCCTTTGGTGCCTTCCTGTTTGTGTTTAAATCCTTTCACAGTGCAGCCTCAGTAGAAGAGAGGAAGATCTGCATCTCCTGGAGCTTGATTAATGAAAGGACAAGATGCAGGATGAAGCTTATGACATAAACCTGAGGTGAATCTTTCCCTATTTCCTCAGTGCTTTGTAAAACAACTCTAGTTGAAAATAATGCAACAGAGAGATTCATCTTTGTGGCCATTTCCCCCACAACTCAAAACATAGAGTAGCCAAACTATTGCAAGAATACACCTATTCAAGCTGTGGCATGGTGGCGCACACCTTTAATCCCAGCACTCTAGAGGCAGAGGCAGGCAGTTTTCTGTGAGTTTGAGGTCAGCCGGTCTACAGAGCTTTCCAGGACAGCCAGGGCAACCCAGAGCGACCCTGTCACAAACAACAACAAAAGAATACACCTTTTTCTTTTCTTCTTTGTAGTGTCATAACCGTCATCGGCCCAATTTGTTAGGACATGCTCCAAAGACCTTTGGTCAGGAATGGAGCTGTGCCGTGCGTTCCACAGACAGAGCTTGGAAGTAGACCAGCAGACCCACAGAACAACTCCTTTAAACCACAGGCCAAGAGGCCGCGAACCAGGAAGTGGGGAGCAGAACAAACAAATGAAACCCTGAACAGAACACTAAGTGCTATTAAGCCAGAGAACAAACTCTGTAACCTAAGAATAAAATCTATTCCATTCGTAGCTGCAAACGGTAGGTAGTGCTAGGATCTGGGAAAAGGGAAGTCGAGTTTCTCAGTCTAGAACTCCGCACCCCTCACTCCAGTCCAGGCACGGAGCAGGAATCCTTGATTGCACAGTGACTGAAGAGAATCCCCCATGCTGTTCCAGTGTAGTCTCTAAACTATGTGACCGGAACACTGAAGCTCATGCTGCATGTCAGCACAAACACCAGCATGCAGAAGCAGAGTAGAATCCTTGTCAAATACAGTTTTAGATTTATTTACTTTTATGTGTTTGAGTATTTGCCTGCATGTTGTGTTCATACACACGTGCATGCCTGGTGCCTCTGAAGATCAGAAGAGGGCATCCGATTGCCTGGAAGTGGAGTTCTGCATGATTGTGAGCCACCATGTGGGTGCTAGGAACTCAACACAGCCTGATCTACATAGTAAGCGCCATAACAGCCAAGGCTACATAGTGAGCCCTGGCTCAAAAACAAACAAACAAATGGAAAAGGGGTGGGAGGAAGGAAAAAGAGGGAGGGAGGGAGGGAGGGAGGGAAGGAGGGAGAGAGGGAGGATGGAGGGAGGGAGGGAAGATGGACGGAGGGAAGGAGGGAGTAAACTGGCTGAGCAAAAACTAGGCAGCAAGCCCGTTATTAGTGCTCCCCATGGCCAGTTCCTGCCTCCAAGTTCCTGATTGAAGTGCTTGCCCTGACTCCCCTCAATTCTAACTCCCCTGGAATTCTAAACAAACCCTTTCCTTCCACAAGTTGCTTTTTGGTTATGGCATTTGTCTCAGCAAAAGAAAAACAAACTGGAACTAAAGATTTACTTAAATTATCTGCAAATACTATGTCGTTGTATATAGATGACTTGAAAAATCCATGGATTTTGGTTTTCACAGGGAGCATGGAGCCAATCTCCCAAGAATACAACGGACAGCTCTGTTCCGTGTAATGAGATCACCCACCTCTGAAAAGCCACCGCTGGCCACCACTTATTCTCTTCTCCAAACCCGGTTACAGCCTCACAATGGGAAGTGTGAGGCCAGTGACAGGTGGCCTCATACTTGTGTGGACACAGAGGCCACATCAGAGACAGAAGTGAGGAGGCTACTGCTAGCCCTCCCCACAGTCTTCTAGAAGAGGCTTTGGCATCCAACTCCTGGGAGGGCAAATGTTGCCAGCTCCTGTGGCCTGATGGTATCAGTCATGATAAAATAAGATGATGAAGAAATATGGGACATAGCATGTCCCAACCATCCATAACTCCAGCTCGAGCATGTATGAGAGTTAGCTTTCCCTCCTGATGTCAAAATGCCTGAGATAATTGGCATATAAGGATAAAGGGCTTGAGAGACGCTCTGGGTGGGACTGTAAGATGGCAGAGCAACGAGCTACTGTAGGTGTTCAGGCTACGGACTGACTTCAGGTCCAGTCTCTGCAGCAGGGGTGACCACTTTGTGAAGAACACATTGTGTAGTTGCCTAAGATGCCAAATATCAAAATCTTCAGTGGAAATTCCCACTAGAACTTATCCCAGAAAATTGGTGACCGCCCGGGCCTGGAGCTAGGCGAGGTGGTGATTAAGAAATTCAGCAGACCTATGTGGAAATTGGAGAAAGTGTACGTGGTGAGATAAATGGCAATCTAATGGAGCTTCTGATTATGATTAATGCTTGCAAGATTGCTTCAGCCAGCTGGGTGACTGCAGTCATCCCAAGTTTCCTTATGCCCTCCAAGATAAGAAAGATAAGAGCCGGCTCCTGTCTCAGCTGAGCTTGTTGCAAATCCTTTGTCGCAGGAGCGGATCATATTATCACCATGGATCTACATGCACCAAATTCAGGGCTTTTTCTGATAGACCAGCAGAGAATTTATGTGCAGAGCCAGCTGTCCTCAAGTGGATAAGGGAGAATATACCTGGGTGGAGAAACTGTACTACTGTCTCACCTGATGCTGGTGGAGCCAAGTGAGCGACCTCCATTGCAGACCAATTGGATGTGGATTTTGCCTTGCTTCACAAGGAATGGAAGAAGGCCAATGAAGTGGACCCCGAGGTGCTAGCGGGAGGTGTGAAGGATCGGGTGGCTATACTTGTGGATGACATGGCTGACGCTGTGGTACAATCTGTCACGCCACTGACAAACTTCTCAGCTGGAGCTACCAGAGTTTATGCCATCTTGACTCATGCAATCTTTTCTGGCCCAGCCATTTCTCGCATCAACAAATTCATACTTTAAAGCAGCCGTAGTCTTCCTCTGGAGGATAAGATGAAATACTGCTCCAAAATACAGGTGACTGACATCTCCATGATCCTTACAGAAGCCATCAGGGGAACCCACAATGGAGAGTCTGTCTCCTACCTTTCAGCCATGTTCCCTTATAAAAGAATAACTTCGGAGCTCCCTCCGCAGTCCTGTCCAGACACTGAAGAAGGAAGATGTGACCTGCTCTGCTGAAAAAGGTACCGAGCCATGTGACTAACATATACTAGAATAATGGGCTAATAGAAGTTATAAGAATTAATAAGAAGCCTGAGCTAATGGGCCAATCAGTTTATAAAATATAGACTTCTGTGTGATTTCTTCAGGGCTAAATGGCTGTGGGACCTGGTGGGAGGACAGAAACCAGTTATTGGATATCCACCACTGCTGATGTAATAAGTCAATCAAACTGAGTTAATAAATCCAGGTTTAATAGAAAGAGCAAAGAACTCCTGGATGACCCTCAGGAGGGCAGGAGAGGAATCACGTGACAAATGGTCTTAAGTAGCTTATAGGTGTGGTCTTGAGCAGCTCTGGGGAGGGGTTTACTCTTGGCTGGCTTTCTGAGGGGAGAGGCCACTGTTTGGAGGACTTTCTGAGGGGCAGGGTCTGGGGAGAGAGAGAGGTGGGCTTCTACCTAATAATCCTAGACTCTTTGGATATATGAGTGCCAGGGGCTCAGGTGGAACTTTCACCAGAACACAAGCTATAGTAATATGCCATTTTAGAAGAATGATTATTTTGAACCGAAGTAAAATTTTTTAAAATATTTATTTATTTATTTATTATGTATACAGTGCAGGCCAGAAGAGGGTACCAAGTCTCATTACAGATGGCTTTGAGCCACCATATGGTTGCTGGGAATTGAACTCAGGACCATTGGAAGACCAGGCAAAGCTCTTAACCACTGAGCCATCTCTCCAGCCCCACCGAAGTAAAATTTTAAAATAGCAAGTCATATTTGGGGCAAATGGTATAGGGCTTGCCTAGCATGTGTGAAGGAAGCTCTATCTTTGCTCCCTGGCACCACCCAAAAAGTAGGGGGCACTGGTAATCCTCCTTTGAAATCCCAGTGTCTTAAGTTACTCTTCTACTGCTGAGACAAAGCAGCACGACTGTGGGGGTGAGCGAGAAGAATGGCCCCCCCAGACTTGCGTGTTTGGCTACTTAGTCCCCAGTTAAGAACTGTTTGGGAAGCCAGGCGGTGGTGGCGCACGCCTTTAATCCCAGCACTCGGGAGGCAGAGGCAGGCGGATCTCTGTGAGTTCGAGACCAGCCTGGTCTACAGAGCTAGTTCCAGGACAGGCTCCAAAACCACAGAGAAACCCTGTCTCGAAAAACCAAAAAAAAAAAAAAAAAAAAAAAAAAAAAAGAACTGTTTGGGAAGGTGTGGCCTTTTTTGGAGGATATGCACCAGTCTTAGTTCGCTCCTTCTCTCCCTTTTGCCTATGGACAAAGATTTACACTCTTAGCTATTGCTCCAGCATCACACCTTCCTCTCTATTGCTCCCTGCCATGATGGTCATAGACTCACCCTCTGAAATTGTAAGCTTCTAACAAGCACTGCCGTCTAAAAGTTGCCTTGATCATGGTGTCTTAGCACAGCAAGAAAAAAGCAACGAAGGATTTTCTCTTACATATCTTCCACACTGGAAGAGAGTCTCCAGCAACAGTTGTTAACAGCTCCTATAATTGTCAGGAGAGACCCTGGTGAGTCTTATGGTCTCAGCTTCCCAGGCTCCAGGTTGAAGTTCGCTTACTTTCTGAGTCTCATGAACTGCCCATCTCCTTCCTTAGGTCAAGGCTTCCATTTGGAGGAACCTGCTGTATAAGAGGAGGGCAGAACAACCTCACTTGTTCTTCAGACACCATCCACATTAGCTTTTGAGACAGGACTGGCCGCTAGTCCAGAACTCACCAGAACTTGACTAGGCTTGCTGCCCATCATCCCAGGAACCTACTGGTTTCAGCATCATTGGTGCTGTGAATAGCCTTTTTAGGGTTAGGTCCTCAGGGCCACAGCCAAGCACTTCACTGGCAAGGATGCCTTCCTGCCTTATCCCTTGTCTGGTTTTATATGGCACTGGGGATCAGACTGAGGGCTTCACATGCTAGACAAACACTCCACAAACTGAGTTCCATCTCAGCCCCGCGTTGACCTTTTCTGACCACCTATTTCCTTATGTATTCATCAGCTCTGGACACGGGTGGTGATGTTTGCTCTTCATCACCTGGCAGCTGTGAACAGAGCTATAAAAAAGCTGGAGTGCAGATGTCCTCAGGGTGGGATTGCTGGACTCTAAGGTACTTCAGGATTTCATTGCTCACGGGAACTCCTTACTGTTTCCCACACCGGAGATTACTGTTGAACAAGGAGAAGGAGGGCTCACTTGAGGAAGCAGACAAAAGACTAAAACATTCAGGAGGATGTTGGCTGTTTGAGAGACGTAAGCATGTGGCCTGTCAAAAGAAACCTAGGCTGGAGGGAAGATGGCTCATGCACTGTGCTTTCCCATGCTGGACCCTCATCTCCTGGGCCTCAGCTCCCTAGCCAGCCAGGCTGACCTACTGGGCTAACCTTCTGCCTTCCCAAACACAGCCTCAGCACTTGGCTGCTATGGATCGTATTTCTGAGCCCTCATTTCTTTGTTGACAAACCAGGGAAGAGCACAGAGGGTGTCTAGCAGTCTGCCAGCACAGGATGAAGGCTTCCAAGGAAAGTTCTTCCCTTCTCTGTTCTCACACCAAGACCAACAGCTTGTCAAGGGTGAGGAAATGGTGAACACCTTAGGGTAGAGGCTTAACAGATGAAAAATTTAAATCAACTGAAATAATAACTTCCTGCTCAACCCTCTGTAAATATTTACTGTGCTCTTGGCACAAAGCCTTTCCAAGAAGATCCAGGTGTGGCCACTCTCTCCCGTATAAATAGGGAACCAGCACTCGCTCTTGCTGAGGCTTCGCTAGAGGTGCCTGCCTGTCAGGAGTCCTGCTTCTCACAATGGTGGGTGACTGACTTCATACACAGGACTCCTTTCTGTCTTTAATTGGAAGTGGGTCTTTCCTTACAGTGTCTTTTCTACGAGCCAATATCAGGGAATGACTGTGGCTCCCCACGGGAGGATAAGAGGAAGGACAGGAGCTGGGGAAGAGAGCCATATGAGGGTGGAGAGGCCCTCAGGAAGGGACCCTTGCCCCACCTCAGGAGAAATGTTCTCTATGGAATCCTCCTCAGACAGAGCTGGAGGGGTACAATAGTGGGGGATGGTGCCCTCCCTGTCCGCCCTCAGATCCCTCTCCCATCCATCTCTTGTGAAGCCTGGGGGGTCAACTCGGGTACCTGTATTCATCACGGTCTCCTTGAAAGCAGCAGTGAACAGCCAGCATGGATCACTTCCTGTGGGGCTCACATGGGAGAGCAGGAACACAACAGTCCTGTCTGCTGTCAGTGAACATAATCTGAAAGTCCGCGCCCTGCCATCATGAGAGCAGAGACAAGGACACAGAGCGGGGAGAGGGAGAGAGTGGAGGGGAGGGAGGAGAGGAGAACACGTGAGCCTGAGGTCCGTCCACCAGCATCTCAGTCCTGTATGTCCTGCAACCCACAAGCCTTGGGAGCAGCTCTGGTTCCTCGGTTCCCTTACTGTGACTCAGTAAAGAAGACTCTAAACTTCCATGATCACCTTAGCATGGAAAAATAGGCTTTCCATCTAAGGGCGCCGAAACCCTATCAACAGGCAGAATTGACTGTGAGCCAAAGACTGAAAAAAGAAGAAGAAGAAAAAGTAAATGATAATTGTTGGTGTGTGTTAAATATATTGAGCAGTATTTTTTGGTGATTGCTTTGTTTTCTTTTTCTTTTCTCTTTCATTCCTTCCTTCTTTTGGAAAGATTTACATTTTCTTTGCAGTTTTAAGCTGGATGAACGTCACTGTGGAAGTAAAAAGAAAGAGCCCAAAGAAAGGTGTCACAAGTCACAGAATGCCTTCTTAGCCGGGTGTGGTGGCTCAAGCCTGTTACCCCAGCACTTGAGAGGCTGGGGCAAGAGGACTGCCCTGAGCTCAAAGCTAGCCTGGGCTACATAGTGAGTTCCAGGTCAGCCTGGGCTGCAGCTCTCTCTGTGTCACAGTAGTCAGAGCACCCAGGCCGTTGTGTTGTGCAGCCTGCAGGGTTGCACCTCACAGTGCATAGAGGGTCCTTGCCCTGCTTTTCTCTCCCCGCTTTGTTAGGTCCTCACGCTTTGTTTGAGTTTTGTTGTTTTTATTGCGAGCCACTGTGTTCTCAGTCAGCTCTTTGCTTGGGTGTCGTGTGGTTTTCCGTTTTCACAGTGCAGTCAGCTGAGCTGCCTTTTAGGTCTGTCTTCACCTCTGTGCTGTTCTCGGGGTCCTGTTAGAGGGAAATGTGAGTGGTTACACTTCCAATTGCTCCATAGACCCTGTTCCCATGGGAACAGCCCTTGTGCTCATCACCTCCCCTGTGGGCCTGTTTCCCTCTGCAGATTCTAAAGGGCATGGTCACTCCATCCTCCTTCATCTACATTCACATTTCTTTTGCTTTGGGCAAGTTGAAATTCCCAGGTGTTGATTGATCCTTTCTCTGTTTTCATGTGTGTATGTGTGTATCTGTCTGTGTGTATGAGAGATGTCTCTTTATTTATGTTTTTGTATCCCTTGATAACTGTGTATTGCTCTGTTTTCATGTGTGTGTATGTGCGCACGCACATGCCATTTCTCTTTATTGCCCTTGCTACTTTTATACTGTACTTTGCTTTTCTTTGTTATAGTGAAACTATTTCATGTATTATTTTTAAATTTGATATAGTCTTAGCTTTATTTATTTAGTCATGTAAACACTAAAATCTCTTTTATCCTTAAGATGATATAACTTTCTGTTCTTACTTTATGATCTTATTAAGGAAACATTTAAGTTAGCTTAGTACAGACTATGTCTTCCCCATAAAAATTGAGCAACCACTTTCCCAAGACTATTTGAGAACTACAGAAAGAGGAAAAACCAGGGCAGAGGGTTCATGGGAGAAACTACGGAGGTGGAGACGGCTCTTCTCACGTCAAAGGGCACAAGGAGGATGAGCACCTGGGACATGAGCCCCCAGGGCACTGAGAACAAGCCAGGACAGAGCGCCTGCTTCAGGAAGTCTCTGCTATAGCCAGTGATGAGGCTCCCACCATAATCCTTCCTATCCCCACAGCCAGCCTCACAGTGAACTCTGGGATTGGTTTTGTGAGACAGGTTTCTCACTGTGGTCAGGTCTGTCTATCCTGGTGCTCACTCCACAGACCAGGCTGGCCTTGAACTCAGAGATTTGCTCACGTCTGCCTCCTGAGTACTGGAATTAGAGGCGCGTGCCATCACCCCCAGCAGAAATTTCTTTTTATGTGACTGATTTATGTCTTAGTTCCTGACTGCTAGGTTGGGAGTACCTGGGAGTTGCTCCACACTCTGCCCTTCTGCCAGTATAGGATACTCAGTCAAGTAAGACCTTCGAGAGTCACTCATTCTCCACTTCCAACCTCTCCCTGCATTGCAGAAAGCTCTGCTGGGCAGTCTGCTGTTCCTTGCCACCTTGGTGACGGCATGCAAGGCAGTGTGCTTTCTCGAACCACGTAAGGGACTTCCAGACCAACCGCTTGGTGGTAAGTCCTGGGTTTTCCAGTATTTTAAATGCCACTACAGCTTGGTAGATATGACTTATAGGGCAGATGGGGAGCCTGCTAGATACCACCTATAGATATTACCTACCTGTGACCTATGGCAGATGGGGACACCTTGGGATGTACACTGGAAGAAGGATTTGGGCGGACACAGAAACAGAGTGAGAAGGCTGTTCTCAACTCTAGCTAGATGAGCTCAAAATGCACCACAATCAAGTCCCTTTTAAGAACAGCTGAACAGGAACCTTTGGGCTGGAGTTGCACATTAAAAACGCTTTGATTTTCACATGCAGTCAGGGTTAAGAAGCAGCATTTGAATTTTAATGTACATGATCATCCCTGTAATCTTGTTTAAATGCAGTGTGTGTGTGTGTGTGTGTGTGTGTGTGTGTGTGTGTGTGTGTGTGTGTGTACTGGGGCGGTGAATGTTGCTGGAGATGCTCAGATACACCAAACAAACACTTTAATGCTGTTACATTCTGCTACTGTGATGAAACACTATAATCAGAAGAAATTTATGGGAGGCAAGGTCACTTCTAGACCACAGCCCACTGTTGAGAGAAGTCAGGGGCAAAGTTCAAGCAAGCAAGAACTTGAAAAGTATTCCTCGGATGACATGAGGCTGTGTCAAGTTGACAAAACTATATATGATGGGGCTGGAGAGATGGCTGAGGGTTAAGAGCACTGGCTGCTCTTCTAGAGGACCCGAGTTCAATTCTCAGCACCTACAGGGTGGTGCACAACTGTCTGTAACTCCAATTCTAGTGAATCTAACATCCTTACACAAATATGCATGCAGGCAAAACACCAATACACAATAAATAAAAAGTTTAAATAAATAAAAAACAATACATTAAAAAAACAGCTAACAACTAAATGTGATAACTATTAAGCTACATCTCTTAGCCCATTAAGTCTAATTCACGGGATCTGATAGCAGGTATGAAAATCTAATGTACAATGCAGCCCTAGGGGTGCTGATGCTGTGGTCCTTCAAGCATGGGTCACTTGGATCTAAGGCAGCAACTCTCACCCTGGCTGAACATTCTTAAAAATAAGGCAGAGGGCTAGGGATGCAGCTGTCTTGGTAGAGGGCTTGCCTAGTATGTATGGGGTACAGAGGTCAATTCCAGCACCGCATAGAGCAAGGGTGATGACACATTCTAGTAATTCCTGTGCTCAAGAGGCAGAGACAGGAGGGTTAAGAGCCCAGTGCAGGCCTTGAGAGAGGGCTTAGTGGTGAAGAGCACTGGCTGTTCTAATAGAAACCCAAGTTCAGTTGCCTGCATCCACACGGCCGCTTACAGCTATTGGCAATTCTAGTTCCAGGACATCTAGTGCCCTCCTCTGGTCTCTGAAAATATGATGCAGTAGCCTTACATACATTCATACCCATAAAATTAAAATAAATCTTTAAGAAAGTTCAATACAATCTTTGGGTAAATGGGAAGTTCAATACCAGCCGGAAACACAAGATGCACGCACCTCAACGCCCCCCAAAACAAAACCAAACAAAACCCGAAGTAAACAAGAAAGTCTGGGCTCCACCCACAGATACTGATTTTGTTGTTCGTTGGTGGGGATTAGGTATAGAAGAAGGCTTGTTTATTTTGGTGTTGGGAATTAAACCCAGGGCTCTGTGCATGCGCAATACCTGTTCTCCACTGAGCGACTTCCCAGTCTGTGGGTAGATTTTAACTACCCACAATGCTCCCCACGTGCACCCAGCCTTGAGACTCAACTGATACAAAGCAATGGTAGCAGGGATGTGAGCGTTTTTGTTCAGGACAACTAGAGGGAAAACTAACTGGGCCCCAGCCACTCCTAATAGCTACTAGATTCCAAGGGAAGGGTCTATTTATTTATTTATTTATTTATTTATTTATTTATTTATTTTTTTGGTTTTTCGAGACAGGGTTTCTCTGCGGCTTTGGAGCCTGTCCTGGAACTAGCTCTGTAGACCAGGCTGGTCTCGAACTCACAGAGATCCGCCTGCCTCTGCCTCCCGAGTGCTGGGATTAAAGGCGTGTGCCACCATCGCCCGGCCTCTATTTATTTTTCAATACCTGTTCTGAAATAAAATCTAGAAAGATTTAAACTTGCTTAAGAAACATTATCAGAACGCTGGGCAAGGTGGCTCAGGCCTTTAATCCCAGCAGGGGCAGCTGAATCTATGTAAGCTGGAGGACAGCCTGGTCTACACAGTGATCTCCAGGCTAGCCAAGGCTGCATAGCAATACCTTGTCTAAAAAGACAAGCAAACAATAACAAAGCCGTCACCAGAGGCAGGTGCCGCAGCCTGCTAGATTTTAGCCATCTTGAATACAAAAGCACTGTCCCGGCCACCTCTACAATTGCTTGCAGTCATGTGCCAGTGGCTGGCTCAGTGTCCCTACAAGCTTTGTTTCTGTTACTTTTTGACCTGGGAATTTGTATCGTTTTAGACTGCGTGGATCCTGATGGTACCAAACACCCCCTGGAGTCTTACTGGGTGAAGGACTGTAATAGGTGTTTCTGTGGACCAGATTCAATCAGCTGCTGCAGCCTGTAAGTCTCAACCACTGATTCTGAGGGTCCCAAACCACCACTCTAGAGGGGTTCTGCTTTCTTTTGTTTTTTGTTTGGTTTTGAAACAGTCTTTTTAAGTTGCCCTGCCATCAAACTCCAGGGCTCAAGAGATCCTGCTACCTCCTGTGTGAGCCAGGTGTGATGTGAACGTATGTCAGAAGCATAGACAGACATGTTTGCATCTACCCACAAGGCCAGAACTGCTTGAATAATAGCAAATTCATAAGCTACCTTGAGTTCTTTTTAACAAAAAATTACATTCATTTGTGTGTTTTTGGTGTGTTTGGTTTTGGGGGGGCTACATTTTGTCAAGCAGTCCCAATTTTCCATGATGCCTAGTCACACTGGCAAACAGATTTTTCTTTATTATAACTTTAACTACTACAATGAACTTTGAGATCATACTTTATACATCACACAGTAAATGTATGTATACATGTATATGTGTATGTATATATGTGTGCATGTGTGTATATATACATGGCTATAAAAGCTGACAGTCCAGCAGAGTTGGAAGAGTTGAAGAGGGTTGGAGGCAGAAATATGATAGAGATGCAGAGTCTGTTGGAGGTGCACCTAGAGTGGAACCTCAGGGCCAAGTTGAGCTGCCCAGTTGAGGAGTTGGACTACTAAAGCCATACAGGCTAAATATAGCACGGGGTCTAGATGGATCAACAGGTGAAGGGGCCACCAGCTGTTTGAGCAACAGGAACCGAGATAAACCAAAGCCCCTGGGAGAATTAGAGAGTTATGGTGTATACATGTGTATGTGAACAAACATCTTCAAAATGTCAGAGGCTACAAGTGATCAGCAGTTAGTCTTAAAAAGAATCAAACCAGAACCGTACAGTCAAAGGCATACTTCCATGTGGCGGGGACTTCCACCCACAGGGCAATGTTCACATGGGTTTTGGGCCATGAAGGTTTTAGTTGAGGGCTCAGTGCCCTGTTCAACTGTGAGAAGATGTCGTGTCATCTTCTCCCTGCATGTACCACCGAGGGCTACTAATTTAGATGTCCTGGGGGCCAGAAAATTGAGATCCATGAATGGTTTAAAATAACTTGGGGAAGAGGAATGTCTTTTCCCTTTAGGATACAAATCCAGACCTTGATACTGAGACTTTGTTACAGAGGGCACGGAAATGGCTGCTTTTATACACTCTGGGTAGGGCAGCTTATTTTATTCTTTGGTTTTTAAAAAAGATTTCATCTCACTGGATATAGTGGTACATGACTTTAATCCAGCACTTGGGAGGCAGAGGCAGGAAAATCTCCAAGTTCAAGGCCATCCTGGTCTACAAAGCAAGTTCCGGGACAGCCAGGTCTACACAGAGAAACCCTGTCTCAAGCAAACAAACAACAAAAAAAAACTAAAAAAAAAAACCTTAAAAATGTGAAAAAAGAGATTCATTTTATTAATTATATGTATGTGTGTGTAGATGTCTGTGTGGCTGTATATGCACATATATGCAATTACCCAGGAAGGCCAGAAAAAGGTGTTGACTCCCCTGGAATTGGAGTTGGGTGCTGAGAACCGAACTCCCATCCTCTGAAGGAGAAGCAAGCACTTTTAACCACTGAATATATTTCTCTAGCCTTCAGATTTCTTTTCTGAGACAAGGGCTTCTGAAACCTAGACTGGCCTCAAACTCACTGTGTAGCTGAGGCTGCTCTTCAACTCTGATCTGCCTGCCTCCACCTCCAAGAGCTGCATGGCACCATGTCTGCTTCTGGCAGGGCAACTTAAATCCCAAGCCTCTAAATGGGCTTTGAGGACAATGACTCCTAAATTGTGTGTGCCCCGATGGGTGGGTTTTCCCAGGAATGTTTGCTTCCAGGGGCTTCTCCCTGGGTCCCGCGACCCTGGTTTGGGAAGGCTCTCTGCCCCTGTAGGGTGGGTGAACTCCTCTTCTAACCAGACACCAGACAGGGTCAGGACCACTTTTCCGTTTCCACAGTCCCGCACTATTATGGACCACTCCTTGAACAGCGAGGGTGGGAAGGGCAAGGGTAGTCAAAGCTTTGCTGCCCCCAGAATCACCCAGAGCTGCCCCTGAGCCTGTCAGACCTTCCCAGTGCCTTTCAGTGTATGCAGAATAGAATGTAAGACCCATGTCAGGGATGGTCTCTCTGACTCCATGGCACAGGCAGGTACAGATGCCCGGATTCTACACTTTGGGTCTTCCAGTTCAAGGAAGCCCTCAATCTGGTGAGGGGAACCCTAGGCAATTTGAGTGTGGGTCATCTGCTTCTTGCATAGACTGTGTGTGAGTGGCAGGGCTGGGTGAATAAATGAATTTCCCCCTTCTAACTAACAGGTCTTGTCTCATTACAGAACCAGTATACCCCAAGGCTACGACGAAGACAAGTGTCAGCAAATTTTCCACCCAGAGAACTGCACCTACAGCGTAGTGGAGAAGACAAACCCAGGAAAGTCCTGTCCTGTTCCTGCCTGGGTACTGTAAAATGAGCTTCCTGTGGGCTCAAATGTTGAGCCGCGTTTGAATATTTGTATGATGTAAATGTATCAGTTATAGGCTGGGTGGTGGTGGCTTATCATCCCAGCGCTCGGAGATGGGCTCAGAGGCAGGCGGATCTCAGGCCAGACTGGTCCATGGAGGGCAACACAGAGAAACCCTGTCTTCAAAAATGCAAATAAATAAATAAATTTGCCAATTATGTTTGTATGAACTTAATGCATGTTATAAAGCAAACAAACACATAAAGGAGACAAAAAGAAAACCAAACATGTTTTTAAAAAAAAATCAACTCAACAACACCAGTTACAAATTACAGTCTTTTCCCTGGGCTCAAATGGGTGACACGCACGGTGCTTCCCTCTGGGGCCCATGTCCATTTCTACCACTTCTGCAGTGTTGAGTTCTTCTGACTGTCTCCTGCGGCCGGTTTATAATGGGAAAAAAGCATGTGTTCATGGCGAAACTGGCCTCTGCCCTCGGCACTCCTGTGTACCCTTCCTTCCTCTCACTCAGGCATCTCCTCTCAGGAGTGTCCCCACAACCCTCTGTGTTTGCATAAGGTTGGGGCAGGTTAGAGACAGCCCGAGAAGGTGCCCTCCAGACCTCTTGCCGGCTGCCAGCAAATCAGATGCCAGACTCCTGCGGATGGTGGGGACTAGCTCTAGGATCAGTTATGTGTGCCACGCACAGCCCACCTAAAATTGACTTGAGAGGGTGACAACACTGACTCTGACGTTTATCTTCTCCATACTGCGTAAAACATTGTAGCACGTCCCCTAAGTTCAAATGTATCACCCAGCATTTGTTAGTGTTCCTTCCATGGAGACAGACTGCTCTGCAGCTGTCCTCTGCATCTAACCTCAGAGCTCTCCATCAGCCGTCTTAGCTTCGCTTCTATTGCTGTGAAGAGACACCATGACCACAGCAACTCTTATGAGAGAGCATTTAATTGGGGCTGACTTACAGCTTCAGTGGTTTAGCTCATTATCGTCATGTTGGAGGGATGCAGGCAGAAGGAGCTGAGATTTCTACATCCAGATTCACAGGCAGCAGGGGAAAAAAAAGAGTAAGCCACTGGGTCTGCCTTGGGCTTCAGAAGCCTCAAAGCCCACCCCCCAGTGACACACTTCCTCCAGAGAGGCAACAAGGACGCACACCTGCAAACACAGAAGTAGCGCCACTCCCTGCTCCCGAAGGATGCAAACAGATGAGCTGTGAGCGACACTCTTATTCACATCACAGCCCCGAAGGAAAGAGATTTTATTTATATGGCTGTTTTGCCTGCACATATACACGTGTACATGCCTGGTGCCTTTGGAGGTCAGAAGGCACTGGATTCCTGGGACAGAAGTTATGGATGGTTGTGAGCCACTATATAGGTGCTTGGAACCAAAACTGGGCCATCTGCAAAAGCAGGAAGTGCTTTAACCTCTGCACTGTCTCTCCAGCCCTCAACCACAAGGAAACTTATTCAACTCCAACTCTCCACTCAGCCTTGGCTCCAGACTGCTATGCATCATTTTTTTTCTCCCCCTCTTTCCCCCCTTTTCGGTTCTTAAAAATTTGACTGCTGGGGCTGGAAAGATGGCTCAGAGGTTAAGAGCACTGGCTCTTCCGGAGGTCCTGAGTTCAAACACGTGATGGCTCACACCATCTGTAATGATATCTGGTGCCCTCTTCTGGCCTACAGGCATACATACAGGAGAACACTGTATACAAAATTAATTAATTAATTAAAACTTAGAAAAAAAAGAATTTGACTGCCCTATTAGCAAGGGTAGAGTTGGGTAGGAGAAACAGTAGCTAATATTCTACAGCACAGTAGGACAGCTATACTGATAATCATCTGATATCTCGGTCTCCCTCCTCTCTCTGGAAGGCTCAGCAGAGGTTGGCCTTGAACTCCTATCCTCCTATCCTCCTAAACGCTGGAATTGCAGCCAGGTCCCGCCACACCCAGATTAACTATTTAAAAAAAATAATTAGTTGATAGTTTTCTAAATTAACAATACAAAGAGGTGATAAATACAGCGATCGCCCACATCTGACCCCCACACTGTTTACATGTATTGAAAGTTAGCACCTCAAGGATATGTACAATTACTCTGTATCGATTCTAAATTTTTTAATAAAAGGATTTGCCTTGATTTCTATAATAACGGAGTCATGTGATATATGATCTTTTGTGTCTTCTGACATGTATCCTTGCATATGAATGTTATAGCTAAATAAAATCTACTTTGTGCAAGCATTTGGTGCGAGGGGCTCACTTGGCGTACTTCTCCATTCAGCATAGCACATCTTCAAAATACTTGATTGACTTACTGATCGGCACGAGAAGGAGCCAGATTAGGGGCAGTGAAAATTATCACACGCCTCCACGTTGAGCCCTACAGAGGCTTTGCGCAGGCGCGGAAGGAAATCTCGCGAAACTGTCAGAACGCTAATGAGAGGCGTGGTAGGGAGGCCACCTATCGCGAGAACTCTGGGTGCCGGGGCCGGATTCTTTCGTGGCTGGGTGTCTGGGTCGGTCCAAGGTGCGCTCGGGTCACCGGAAGAAGCCCTGCCAGCTGGTAAGGACGAGCGCGGCCGGCGGGCGCGCTTCCTATTGCTGCCCTCCTCGCCCCGGCCTGTGGCCTGTCCTGCGCTTTCTCCCCGGCCCACGCGGGGTCCCGGGCCACCATCCTACCGGGCCCAGTCGCCTCTCCCTTCCCCGCGTCACCGCAGGCCTGGACTCCTCTCCCTCCCCCGCGATCCGGAGTCACCATTCTTCCTTCTTGCCCAGGGCTGGGCCTGCGTCCGTGTCCCCTACCCTCACCCCCGCCCCCATGTCGACATGCTCCGTCCCTGGGCCCCGATTTGCAGCCCGCAGTCTTGGAGAAGCTTCTCTTCCATCCCTTTCCTACCCTCTCCCGACTGTCCCACCCTGCTTTTTCAGTGGTGACAACCCTGTTTCTATGTCTTGTCTGGGTCTCCGATCCCAGGTGGACCCGTTTTCCATTATTCATCCAGAGTATATTTGCTCCTATTCCTTGGGTTTTGGCAAGGTGGGATGTTGGAGGCCGTTTGTGTCGTGAACATAGTATTACTTAACATCCCAGTTAATTCTCCCAGCAGCCCCCACAAAGTAGCTTGATTTCTCCCTTGGGCTGATCAGAAGAAAGAGCGTGCGGGGTTGTTGATTCATTGCTCAGTCACTCATTTATAAAATGCTGTGTGCTCAGACTGTTGAGGACATAGCAGTGTAAGAAATGGACATGCTCCCAGCTCTGATGTAACTAAGTCTTGTGGTGGAAACAATGCCGTCTTAAAAGCTACAGGCTGGAACTTGGGAGGATGGATCGATAATGACAAGGCAGAGGGCTGGAGTTACCTGACCCTCAGCACACACAGGTTTCCTATTAGTGCTGGTCAGTAGGACCTGCTCACCATCGCGGCTTCCTTTTGGAAGGACTTGACTTTCTATCACCCGCTTGGGAATTTGGACTATTGTTGTAGGGCTCTTGAGTTATTTCCCTGGGTGTGTTTGGGACAGGTAAGCCAGTTGGTTCTCTGTTAGGATCCCACTGCGACATTTCTGAACTTTGAAGTACACCCGAATCTTGGAAAGAAATTCTCCCTGGAATTTATTTCATTTGTACCGCTCAGCAAGCTACATGATTTGCTCTTTGGATTTTTTTTTGTTTGTTTAATAAGAGAGTGCCACGTTCGCTTAACACCTGAGGTACCAGTCTTTGGAAGCCACCTGATGTGTGTCCTGAGAACTGAACTCTGGCCCCTGAGCCATCTCTCCAGTTCTGTTTTGCTTGTTTGAGACAGGTTGGGCTGCAGGAATCTGCTGGGATTACCAGGTGCATGCCACCACACCCAGCTGTTAGGAAAGGGGGTTTGCTTACTCGGAGATGTGTAGCCTCCAGCACTCTTAACAGTCCTCGCGTTCACTCTCCCTTTTGCCTCTTCGTTAGCTCTTTGAGTCTCTAGGAAAAGAACCTAGACATTTAAAGTTAGGGGTAGGGGTTAGTGACTAAGGCTTTATCATGATTTATCATCTCTCCAGTTACATCATTCCTTTGAGGGAAGGTTTTCAAAAGTGGAAATCATTGAACTACAGAAGGGAGAATTATTTTCCCCTGAGATGGGGTTTCTCTGTGTCACAGTCCTAGCTGTCCTGGAAATAGCTCTGTAGACCAGGCTGACCTTGAGCTCACAGACATTCACCTCCCTTTGCCTCCCAAATGCTGGGATTAAAGGCATGCACCACCACCGCCCAGTGAGAATTGCTTCTTAAAGGGGAGTTTGCGTCTAATTTTATAAGTGCGCAGGACTTAATTCCTCTCCAGTTTATTAAATCAGCATAGACTGCTAGAAACCTCAGGGTTCCTCTGAGTATTGTGGCACATATCCCTTCTCTATCTGAGAGTCTCTTGGCTAGTGATTTCTGGTGCTTTGTCCATACAGTGTTAACACACTGGTAGGCGCTTAGAGATAGTCACTGAGCCTGCTTTTTAACTTTAAACTGTGCCTTTTATTTCAGAAATTTAGTGTTGTCAATGAACTAGTGGCACAAAGTCTCCACTAGATGGCAGTCTCACCATTGTAGCCTCAAATACTTGAATGACTACATAAGCCTTAAATGGCCCCTTCAAAATACAGCTGAGTGTTCTAGACTTACTCTGGATCTTGGTCAAAAGGCTAGAAGCAGTCAGACTCAGACTTTTGGAGCTGCGAGCTTGTATCTATAGTGTATAGCTGTCAAGTCTATGATAACTGCCAAGCTGAGCACTTTGGTTCCGGAGAGCGTCACCAGTAGTACTTTGTATGCTTGTCTGACAGGGGAGCCACCGTATTGTTCTCCTCAGCGAGTCTTCTGTAATTGTTAAAACTAACATTTCAGCTATCATTGTTAGCTTACAGTCAATATCCCCCAGATCCTAGCTTATCGTACATTCTCCCTGAATTAGATGGGCTCGCAGGCAAGTGAGCTAAATAATTATGGTGTAGGCACTCTGTTGACTTATCTTCCCTCTAGCATGGCTGACTCACGACCACTCTTACACCAGGTAGGCAGGCATTCCTGGTTTTGCTTGGTTTGATTGTGCAGTAGAACCCAGCTGTTTTTCTGGAGGACTGGGATTCTGCTTGGGACTTTTGAGCTCATAGTTCATTTGGCATGACCTCGATTGCCCTACAGAA